GCCGCAGCAAACCCGAGAGCTGTCGGATCGCGCCAGGACAGGGCTGGCCAGCCGGTCAAGTGAGCTGGTCAAAGACAATGGCAATTTTACAAAAAACCTACATTTTTCTGTAGTTGGCTAGACAGAAGTCGGATTTTTTAAATTGCTTTTTGACACATTTCTTCATGGCAACTTTGCATTTTTCCCGTGTATTATTTGGACCTATTGGCTATTTTTTTAATCATTCTTGACCAATATTTGACTGGCCAAATCCCCAAGCCCATGACCGGGAAACAGAGCTAGAGCTCTGCATCAGCAGGCCACCGGCGCGCCCCCTCTCCAAGGGCTAAGCAGAATCAGCCTTCGCTCCAGCCTCGGACGCCCAGGTCCAGCACCGAGCTCTGCCCGAGGCGACCCCGCGCAAGCCCCTCGTTGTCTGACCGAGAAGCTGGGGAAGGGCCATTACCTCCGCTCGGCAGCAGGTTGGGGGCTGCGACGGGAAGAAGAGCCGGGGCTGAGACTCTTCTCCCCCGGCTGCAGCTCAGCAACCTGCCCCTCCGCGGCCGACCCTGCTCTCCTGCCTCTCATTCGTCTCAGGCCCGAGGGATGGACCTGGATGGTGCTTTATTCAGGACTTCCCCACCTCCATCTCTCCGGCGCCTGCAGGGACCCCAGCTCCGGTCCCCAAGGAGTCACACGACACAGCCAGCACGGTCCCCACCAGCCAAATAAATGCAACCCCCAGCTCCCTGCCCCCAGGCTCCCCGACTTTCACCCCCAGGAAGGGCACTGTACTGCAAGCTGAGGTCCGTGCTCCAGCTGGTTTGTAGGACCAGAGCTGTTTAAATTGCACGGAAATGTTTGCCGAAACCCAGGCACGACGTCTGGGTGAGGCGCAGTGGAACCGACTGAGCAAAAGAGACGAGGAAGCGGCCGCCGCATTGCAAGGACCAGCTGCAGGGAACGAGCCAATGGCCTGGGTGGCTGCAAGGACTAGATTAACACAAGCAAGCAAGGCCTACCCCACATCAGCCCAGCATACCTCTTTGCAGCACCTCGGAGCTGGATGGTGATGCCTCCGTAACATTCATCACGCCACCAGCAGGCTCCTTGGCTGCTGGGGTGGAGCAGGGCAGCTGCTTAACGAGCCCGGAGCAGGAGGGAGGAGAAAGCCGAGCTAGCAGAGGAGGTTGAGGAGGGCAGAACGTGGACACCTGAGCTGGAAGGTGATGTCTCCGTAACATTCATCATGCTGCCAGCTAGCCCTTTGCCTGCCGGAAATGCAGCTACTTCTCAGGTGGAGCAGGGCAGCCGCCTAATGACCTTGAGCGTGTCCCATCCAGCCTGGTACCCAGAAGGAAGGGCACCCCCCCCCGGGCTGCACACCGAGGACACAGCCGGTCCTGCTCACCTGGCAGCTCCTGCGATGGGGGAAGCTGCTCACCTCCTGCAAGAGGCAGCAGCAGCTGCAAGTCACCCTGCAGGTCATAGGCCCGGGGGCAAAGTCGTCTTGCCCCCAGGCTGCTCAGGGCTGCAGACTTCTGCACCTGAAGCCTCCTCGGGACAGCTGTTAGCCCGTCTCGAGGGCTGCAGGGTGGCCGCAGGGACCTGGGACTCAGCACGCTGGCAGAACAGGAGGGGCTAGGGCTCAGAGAAGGGGCTACTCGGGACCCGGGGAGGCGTGCGTATTGGGAGACACAAATGCAAGACCCGTCCTATATCAACCCTGTTTCACGATGCACCCCCAGCCCACGTGGCCCAGGCGTCCGTGCTGAAGAGGAGGGCAACAGCAGGGCTCTTCCCCACAGTTACCAGCTCAGGGCCAGGGCAAGATTTACAGTGGAGTCACAGAGCCGTGGGGCTGGCAGGGAGCTCCAGAGGTCACGTCTGATCCAACCCTGCCCGGAGGCAGCATCAGCCCTGTCCAAACCAGCCCAGACACATCCATCATCTGAACTCTTCCTAAAGCTACTGTCAGCCCTGACGCAGCACCAGGCATCACATCCGAGCCTGCTCCGGGGGAAACAGGGGGACCGCAGCAGCCAGCGTCCTGCTCCTATAAAAGGTTGTTTCTAGATGCTCGAGAGAGACAAGGCAGAGGACGTGCCCCCGCTGCAGAGGAAGGCAAACCCCCCCCAGCCTGTACTTACCTGATCGGGGGAAACCCCTCCCTGCCCACTATGCAGCATCGGTCTGATCCCGAGCACAGGGGCAAGACCCTCCGGAGTTGGTCATGGTAGCACATAGGCAGAACTATGCCTAGATTAGCCCTAAAACAGTGTCTGGGGTGCATTTTAACCTGGTGCATTTGACAGCAAAATGCAGCAGGAGGCAGCTGCAAACGGGTCGTGTGGACTGATTAGGGCCCAGGTAGTAAGAGCTGAGCTGTGCGCATCCGGCCAGACCCTCGCGTGGAGCTTCTGCCGCAAGGGGAGGCAGCGCGGGGTCCCAGCAAGGACCCTGGGCCCTCCATTAGCCAAATGTCTCCTGAGAAGGGTGCAGAAGAGTGACCCCGGTGAGCCCCGGGAGCAGGCAGGGAGACTAGTAGAGCCCTCGGGGAGGTCCCCGGTGCTAGACCGCAGCGTGGCAAGGGGCTCGCTGAGAGGGGGCACTGCTATGCATGCCGCACGCAGCCAGGAGGGAAGTGGCTGGATAACGAGTGACACTGTTCGCCCGGGCTGAGGAGAGCCCAACGGGGCATGGGTCATACTGGAGACTGGAGCTCAGGCTGCTCCCCCTGCCCCATTCGGCTCAGCAGCTTGTTGCCCACCGCACAGCCATGTGCTGCTTAAATCCAGGTATTGGCATGTGTGTGCATGCGTGTGCAGTGGGGGTCAGGTGTTGGCATGTGCACGTGTTGGATATTAGGGGGACTGCATGTGCATGTGTGCGTGAGAGAGGTATTCAGGGGGTGTTTGTGTCAGGTATTGGTGTGCACGCGCGCATGTACTAGAGGTATTGGGGATGCGTGTGTGCGCACATGCTTGAGAGAGAAGTATTTGTGTGTGTGTTTATGTCAGGTATTGGGTGTGTGCGCATGCACACATGCATATCAGCTATTGTGGGGTGCATGTGTGCAGGCGCATGAGAGGTACTGCAGGGTGCATGTTTGTGTCAGGTATTGTGTGCGTGTGTACACACAGGGGGAGCTTGGACACCCCACATCTCAACCAGTCACCCCAAGCTCCAGGCATCAAAGGGGGCTGGACTCGATGATCTTCTGAGATCCCTTCCAGCCTAATGTCTGTGAAACGTGTGAAGATGAGATAACGATTTTCTGGGGCGAGTTCCCCCCCCAACACTTCCTTTCTCGACAGCAGGGACTGGGTGCAGGAAGGGGCGACAGCAGGGACTGGGTGCGAGGTTCGGGGCTGGGGGCAAAGGTGGGAAGGACAAGGGTAGGCAGCCGGGCTAAGAGTCATGGGTGCTGGCAAAGACCCGGCGCAGTCGTAACACGTACGGGCCTTTTTACTGATGCATTTACATTTCAAAGCAGAACCCGCAAGGGGCGAAACTGGAATAGTTGAGAAGAGGCAGACGCTGAACACAAGAGACATGGCATACGTGCCGGACACGAAGAGCATGCCACGGTCATGGCACCCAACAGGGAGAAGAGGGTGCAGCCTGCCTAGAAAAAACCCAGGCAAAGATGAGGCCTGTGGGATCTCCTCCTCACGTGTCCAGATCTGCGAATCCCTCAAAGACTTCCCAAATACCCGGCTGCAAGGAGATGCTCTGCCCCCAGAATTACAGATCTATGCAAGGCTGCTGTATTTTTTTCACTAATTATGTTGCATTTGCAGTTAAGTTGTGTTTTAGCTTAGGCTAAACACAGAACAGACTATTCTTGTTTCGGATTTTATGACTTTGGTGCCACCACCTGAATTGAAGTCTGGTAACAGGCAGGCGGAAGATGAAATAAGACTGGGAGAAACCCAGGGACGAATGGAGGGTGAACAAGCGGCAGGAAACCAGTGCATAACGGTGATCGGTTTGCACGGCTGGCATTGCACTAATGAGTTTCACACGTGCGTGTACACACGATTTGCGTTGGTGGATTCCTGGCGGGCCTCTCCTGATCCTGGAGAACAGGGGACGAGGCAGCCGCTCAGGAAGGTAGGGTTTGGCCAGAGGGAGGTGGGCAAGCCAAGGGGCAGCAAACCCACGTCGCAGGACGGCAGCCTGCTGGCTCGCTGACTGACGCACGCTTGGGTTCAGGCCGTCAGCAGAGGAAAAGCTCCTCTTGGTTCACCCAGTGCCCACGTTTTTCAGCTGCAGCGGTAACTCGGAGCATCCTTCCACTTCCCCGAGGGATGAGGTACAGGGTGGACCCTGCTGAAAGGCATCGAGACGGGACAACGGGGAGGCAGCTGCCGGTCTCGGGCTCTGGCCAGACAGGGCTTCCAACCCTTGGAAGATGCCGCTCTGGAGCAGACATCTGCCGTTGCCACAATCCACGACATCTGCATCCAGCTTTTGGGGTATGGACAAACTGCAGGGCACCAGCTCTACATCCCCCCCCTTCCCTGCTGCCTGCGCTTCTGTCGCTGCAGCTCTACATCACCCCCCTTCCCTGCTGCCTGCGCTTCTGTCGCTACGGGAGCAGACAGACATAGCTTGGGAACTGTAATGGCTTACACTGGTATCATTTGATACTGGTATAATGGTTACATCTACCTCCACCCTCAGCAAGAAGCTGGGGTCAGGCCTCGAGATGCCGCCCCGCTAGACCCCTACTCGCTTCGTCTCATCTATCATGCCACACGGTTTGATTTCACCCTTTCCATTAAAAGCTGCTGATCTGAAACGTATCGGATGCACCTGAAATGCCCCCACTGACCCAAATCGCTTGGACGACCCCCAGCATGTGGGGGTAACACACTCAGCGCTCGCATCCAGCGCGTGCTAGACAAGGCACCGCTGGAAAAGAGCCCGCTGTCTGGGTGAAGCTGGCGCCAGCAGATGCAGGCTCTAGCCGCGCGCGCGCGGATCCAACTCCCGACAAACTCCGCAGGACTCAGTTTTGTATAAAAAACTTTTTTTTTTTTAATTCCACAAAATTGGGTGGCTGCGTTGCAGGAATAAAACCGGCCCTATACATAAGATCAGATGAAAAAGTCACCACGCGGGTTATTTATAGAGGAACACAGCAGTGTGAAGAATTCAGGTACATCGTGAGGAGTTAAAAAAAAAAAAAAAAAAAAAAAAAGTCTCCACCTGGATCCTTTCGATTTGAAGTTGATCGCACTAAAAACAACCTGAGCTTATTCTAAACCGGCCCACGGCCTGAACCAGGAGTCCACGCTCACACTAGGGACGCGGAGGGGATGGGGAACATTTGGAACGGGTTTCCTCTGGGAAAGGTGGAGGGTGGGGAGGCCCTGAGCATGCTCTCTCTGCTAGGCACTGCAGAGTCCTCGGGCTGGACCACGACCAGTGTTATCCTGTGTGCTGGAAGGGACCAGGCTGCAGACATGGATGAGCAGGTAGATCATGAGCCCCAGACACACCTGCACATTCAGGGCCTGGGGAGTTCCCTGTGGATGTTCCTAGGGGATGAGCACACCGGACTTCTTCAAGGCCGATCCTCTTTACTTTAGGAAACAAATGGCTCTGGGTGTTTCGTGCCCCTTGGGAAGTCTCTCTCTTTTCCCTACAGGTGAAATGCCTTCTGGCCAAGCTTGGGAACACAAGCCCTTTGCACGTGTGACCTCCGCAACCCACCCTTGAAATGCAACATGAGGGACCCTGGGAGTTTTGGCAAGGGAGCTCGTCAAGAAAGCTCTCCCGGGAGGGAGAGGGCAGAAGACCCAAGTTGCACAGACAGCAAGAGTTTTATGTCCTTCTGCAGTCAGTAATGGCACACACTAGGATCTGAGTCTGGCCGCGTCAGCACATCTGTGTTGGGGCATTTTGTTTCTCCCCCTCCCCAGTCCTTGCTCGTGGGCAAGGATCCGGCTGCCGACCCCTTTCTCCCACCACAGCCCTGCAGACAGTGGAATGATAAAGCTCGGCAAGTGGAGGGCAAGGGGTGAGCAGAGGAGAGAGGGGTCTCCTGCCTCCGCGCCCACTCCGGAAAGAAACTTTAGAAGAAAAAAAAAAAAAAGGGGGAGTACCGTGTTTACTGAATTCTGCCCACCCGGCTGTCTGCAAGAGGTAGTTGTGGCGTTCACGCCCCAGCCATCCCAGCCCCAACCCATATGCTAGCGCTTCATTGCTACCTACTTTTTTTTTTTGTTCATTTTTTAAAGGAAAAACAAAACAAAAAACGTATATGTTCCAAAAGAGGGACTAAAAACCTGTCTTTAATTCCTCGGCTGGCTACTGGTACTGAACTACTCGAAGGGACGATGCTGCTACCACCCTTCCCTCCTTCCAATTCAAACACAAAATAAAAGATAAGCTGGAGCAGGAAAGCTCAGGTCAGCGAGTGGTTTTCTTCTAATTGATTCACTCCCAGCTCCATTCGCACTGGATCAATATTTCCTTTAATAAGTTAGCGAGGAGCCCTGGGGCTCAGCTACTGCGCTTAACGATTATCTACCTGTAATGAACGTGGTCAGCAGTCCTGCAGTTCCCGCTGCTGAGCAGTGGAAAGAGGAGCTCCCTCCCTCTCCCACACCTGCCCACACTCTGGTTGCTGCTGTTCATCTTGACGCCTCGCTCTTTCCACCTGGAGAACCCAGAATGTCGAACGCCGCCACCTGCAACACCCAGCAGCATGGGGACACCCCGCCTGCTCCATCACAGGATCCCAAATGTAGACGGGGTGGAGGCAGCAAGATGAAAGAGAACCAGAGCGGAGCAGTTGCTCCAGAAGGAGAACAGACCAATGCACACAGGCTTCCTGCCAGCAACACGGAGGCACTACTGTCTACTGCTCTACAGCTTCAAAATGAACCCTCCTCAAGGGAGTACAACTAAAGAATGCCAGACTACTAGGGTGCGCGTGTGCAGGCAGGCTGACTGGAGGCAAAAAACCCTAAAAGGAACAGAAAGAAACTGAGGAATCCATTTTTGGTCACCACTGTCTCGGCTCTGGGCGCTCCGTGCTGCGGGCTCAGTTAGGGGGCTGCGGAGGCCGGCGGTGCTCCCGCGGCAGGGGCGGTCACCCCTTCAGCTGGCGGTGGTGGCTGCTGCGATGGAGGTGGATCTGGAAGCAGAGGGAAGAGAAGTGGTGAACACACCATGAGCTGTTGAAGACAGACGCTTGTCGCGTATACACGCACAGACACTGCTCTCCAGGGGAAACGGGAGGGTCTGGTGACCCTTCCTCTGTCTCCGATTAGCGCACCTGCTTTCACAGTCTTTCTTTGCCCTCGCAGGTCTGCACTGGCATCAGTGCTCACTTGCAAGGCAGGGAAGTATTATCCCCTAGCCAGCGTGAGCAGCAAGCAGATCTCATCCCCACCAGACTAGCACTCCCTGCCTACAGAGCTGTGCTCAGACCCCTGACACATTTCTTGCCTATTTAAAAGCACTTAACTATTTTCATCTCCAGAGCCTATCCATACAGGCTCAAGATGTGCACGCAGCTACAACACACAGGCATCTGTACATGTGGCAGAGAGGGAAAGAAAAACAAGGGAGGATACAAAAGGACAGCTCCCGGGCAGAGCGATTGAGCACAGGGAAA